ATCCAGGGCTCTGCACAGAACTACCCACTTGCTTTACACTGAGAGATATATCGCACATTCATATATCATATAATACTCTAAACTTTAGTTCATAATAGCACAACGTAAAGCAATCTGATATTTCAAATATGTATGCAGTCTAATTTATTTATTAGTATTATATTCACTGTAAAAACATATGTACTGATGTTGAGCCCAAAGCGTTCCCAAGCTTAGCTTCAAAAGGAAAAATAAAATAAAAGGTGGGTTGACATAAAAAGCAGATAATTGTGTAGTTGGAAATACAAGCAAATTGTTATGGGCTACAATTCGAAATATTTATGTAAAAATATTTTACATTGCTTATTAGATACGTAATGTGGGTTTTGATAGTTTCACATACATATATTATGAGATACAGAGAATGTCAACATTTTCTTAACAACATATACTTAACACATACGATATAGCTCGTACACCTCTATGGATACCCAGGTGTATTTTGAGGGTGAGCCATAGATGCCTTTAAGATTATATGGAACTGTACTGCTATTGAGCTATTGTACTAAGTGTGTTTACAGATTCGAATGCATTGTAATAAATTGTAGAGAGAAGCATCGCCATTGAAAAGGGAAAAGTGAAAATGAGAGACGAGGCATTGCTTAGGGGCTGTTGCCATGTTCGAAAACAGCTTGTAAAACATTCGAATCTGAGCTGTGACAACACATGCTCAATTGTATCTTGGGCATTTCAAAGATGCCCCCGACTCTGCATACGCATGTATGTGTGCATATGTATGTACATATCTTTTATACTTTACAAAATGTCTGGCGTCGTGGATGTCAGCACGACATTGAGTGTATTCCTCTCGATCTTCTTGGCCATGCCTTTGCCTTGGTGCGCTCTTCTCTTTGTTTTTGTGTGGAATGCGTGTATCTGTTTTTCAATTTTTTCTTTTTTCATTTACGTTTTGACTCGAAGTCGACTATTTCGTTGGGCAAGATGCTCGCTGCTTTCATACGACTACGAATTGCCCAGACCTGGCTCGAGCAAGTTTTCATTTTTATAAGAAAACAGGAATGAAAACGCATACCAGAAACTTGCTCAGCGGAATCGTAGACTGCTTTTCATGCTGTGCATTCAGCTGGGCCTTCGCCTGCGACTGGAGTGGAAACTGGAAAGACCACAAGATTTTTCATCCACGGCTTGAGTTGATCAGCTAGATCTGGGCTGTGTTTGCATAGCCTCGAGGTTGCTGGAGCTTATCTAGATTCTTCGGTTTCCACGCGGCAACACTTTTTACATGGAAAACAATTTGGGGCCAGAAAAGAGTTCTGGGAATAAAGAAATTTAAGGCAATTAAAACACATCGCCTGCCATTGGGCAGTTGAGGCAGACAAAGAGACAAACTCTCATAATTAGCTGGGAGAAAGATCGTCGAGTCTAGCGATACGACACGAACGGCGTCTCCTTAGCTAGAGGTGTGTCTAATTGGATAACACAAATCTAATTTAATTCGTTTCCAGCATCTTGGACACGACCAAAGAAAAAAACCTGATTTCAGTTTTGTCGGTTTGTCTGTCTTCTTCCTCTTCTTCTTCAGTTTTTTTTATATTTTATATGGTAGCCAAGCCAATGAACTTTTCTCTCACTATATAAATCTTGGCTCTGCCCAACTATTGGCTGCCGTGTGCTTCTTCCTCAGCCACGGGAATTCTGTAACTGCAGGCTCTTTCGTCATATTGCATGAGAATTAATTCGAAATGATCATGATCATCATACTCGCCGTTTTATAGTTGTCTGAATTTGAATTCTGTCAGATGGACCGGCTCCAGAGCTAGCTAGCTCGGCACACATAATGAAGCCATAAGCCGCCATTGCGTCCATAAAACCATTTGAATATTAATTTTGTTAATTAACTTATTCAAATAGAGGCATTGTTAAATATGGAAAGAAACATTTTTTATTGTTTTCCCTTCATTCTTTTCTTTTCGATTCGTTTTCCATTTTCTGCGCTGAGCACCTCTCTTTGGTTGAAAAGTATTGTAGCTCTTGGTGATTGTAATATTGCATTGTAACAGTTGAACAATCAATAGTAATAATAATATTTAAATAATCACATAAAGGAAAGTGATAAATACATTTACAAAGTACATAATAATAACTATAGATTTCAATATAACATGTACAATATAAAATATAACTCATAATATATAAAATATTTAAAAATAAAATATAAAATAGTATTACTATTAAATATTTGTTTTAATATTATTTTAATTTATTTATTTATGAATTTCTTGATCTTCAAAATAATCTTTATTAATGTTTTTATTAAATTCGAATTGCATTTGGCATTCTTAGATGCCTTGAGTCAATGTCTACGAGGTCTAAGTCTACGTCTACAGCTATGTGCATGGGCTGGGGCATATATACATATGTATGTAAGTGAAGTATGCGTGAAAGTACAAATAGATTTGACTTTGACCCTGACACCGGTAAAGGCAATGGCAATGGCAGCAGCAGAGCCAGAGCCAGAGGCAGAGGCAGAGGCAGAGGCAGTGGCTGAGCAGCAGTGGGAAATGGAAGTTGACGTTGAAGTGTGAGCCAACGATTGCACAATGCAAATGCGAAACGAGGAAACAAATTTTACGACGTGTTTGACGGCTGTCTGTTTGCCTGACCCTCTGCCTTAGCGTCTGTCGCAGTCCGCCTGTCCGTGTATTTGCCTAGTTCGGCGCTTACTTCCGCCCTTCTCCAGCCCGTCCGACAGCATGCAGCCCTCAGCCTACGGCTCACTGCTCTCTGCTCACTGCTCACTGGTTGGCTGTCATATGGCAGTAGCGAATTCGTCTGCGAGGAATGCATTATTACCTGACTGCCTGACTGCCTTAATGTCTGTCGGTCTGTCCATCTGTCTGCCTGGTTGGTGTCAAATGCAAACAAGACGTTTGCGCCAGTCATAAAGTCGTAAGATGACCTCTCTAGACAGGCGCAAGGACGGAAACATAGCAACTGCTATGTGGCTTTTGTTGTTCTCGTCTTAACCCTTAAGCGTGCTGGGAATATAAGCCTAAAGCGGCGCCTGCAATTAATCGCACTTATGTACAGTTTGCTACCAATTTGATTTATTAAACCAAGTAACTTTAATTGACACTAAATATCTCTGTATATCTCTCTTTCTTTTCACTTGCATATAATTTATATATCTCATCTCATTATCTGACTATTTTCAGCAACTCTAGTAGTTAATTCGCCTGAGCAAAGATCCTCAACAGGAGTCGTTTTCAGCAGTGGCCAACCAAACTCATATTGTTGCGCCGATAGCGGCGAGTATATCCCCCTCCAGTGTCAGCTCCCAGCCACCAGGTAAGCATATATCAAAAAATTCTTAGAGAAAGCATATTTCTTTCCATATACATATATTTGTAAGTATATTCATATATTATATTTCTGTGTTTACTATAAGAAACTATTTCTAAGAAATTACGTGTCATCAACGTTATTTTATATATCATTCATTTGGATAAGTTAATTAGTGTACAAATATTATAAGCGGCAGCCTTGATGGATTTCTATCCTCAGCTCACATACTATGCCATATGCGAACGTGTGCGTGTGTCTGAGTGTATGGGAAATTCGTGTTCCAATAATTGTCAACATTTCTCCGCCCTTGTCCTGGGCCGCTTTCTTCCAATAGAAATTGTCGTAAAACGCTCATAATTGTCCATCGTCGAGTTAAATTCGGCAATTGCCGCATGGTTCAGGTCGGACGGGGTCGGTTCATGGCGGAAGGAAGCGAGACGGGTCGTACAGGGGCCCGTAGATATTGTTTCTAGGGCCTGGCAATTGTCTCAATTTGTCTGTCGTAAATTATTCTATATATGTATGTATATGTGCATATATGTATATATTTACTTAGCTCATTCTGATTAATTAGCGCCTTGAAAGGGGTGCTTTCAATACATTTTGTTTTCCTATGGGTCTCTGTGTGTACACATAATAATGTGCCATACGAAGACGCCTCAGATGCCCGTGTTTAGTTGTATTTGCTGTTTATTATTTTAGATGACTTCGAAAAGAGAGAAAATCAAAAGGAAACCGAAAACATCGCATGCCTTCCATGCCAATGCCGAGGGGGTCAGCCCTGTTCCTTTGCATTCAAATCTCGGCCATAGATGGCGCTGTGGTGCGCCAGAATATATATTTAAATCAGCCCCAAACAAACATATAGGAAAGACTTTGTTGTTGCTGCGGTACGCACCAGAAAAGTGCAGGCTCAAGACTGTGAGAGAGAGAGAGTGAGAGAGAGTTAGATGAAAGAGAAAGAGTGGGACAGAGAGAGAGGTATACAAACAGTGAGAGTGAGAGAAGGAGGGCACTAAACGAAAAGAAAAGAGCAAACAAAGGCTAACTAAGCACATGGACAGTATGAGTGTAGGCATGTAGCTGCATATGTGTGTGTGCAGTGTGCTATGTTGTCCACTGGCATGCCAAGATTTTTTAGTATGAATTTATATACTATAGTACATATAGTAAGTGTACCTGCTGAGTAGCTGAAAATGATCGTAGATATACTTATTCTCATGCTATACGAAAAAAAAAACAGAACTGAAAACTAACAAATCTGATGGAGCGCTACGTTTCTGAGTTGGCGCCCAAACTCTCTCTTTAAGTCAGTCAAGTGAGCACACGTATGGGTGTACGTGTGCACGCACACCAGCGAGCTGCGTATTCATATTCACACACACACTGTGCGTGTGCATAACGCGCGCCTCGAAGAGAGCCGCGACAACAATATCCACCACCAATGCACCGTCACACACACGCCGCTCGGCTGGTCGGCTCCGATGCGACGACGGCCGAGCTCGCTGTGTTGAGCATGCGCATGCGCGAGGCTCTCTTGGGCACACGGACACAAGGCGCCGCGCTGTCAGGCACACGTATCGAATGCCTTATGTTCGCATCTTGACTCTGACTCTGCCTGACTCTTCCCACCATCGGCCGTCTGTCGTCCGTCCCCGTCGTCTGTCGACAGTCGTTGGCTTTGCACACAAAGAGAGTGAGAGTCCGACACCACGACTCCCCACCGCTTGTGCTGTGCTATTGCTGCCGCTGCTGCCTTTGCCTCTGCTGATTGTTGTCGTTTTCGCTGCTGTTGTCAGTGTAAATTTGTGCTTCGCTCTGCGCGGTTGAAGACGTGCGACGGCAGCAGCATTACCGACTTGGGTATCCAAGCAGCGACAGCCACTACGTCGAGAACTTTGAGTCAAATTTGAGGCAACCGTTGTCGGATTACACTCTGCTTGGAGTGTTGCGGCCGTACGGTTCAAATATTTCATTTAGTCACAAATTCTCAAAATATACAAAAATAAAACAACTGAAAAGGCGTCATATAATGTGCTAGTAGTATATCTGTTAACTGCTCGAGCGCCGAGTTTAATTGTTTGTTTTCATCGTAAAATCAAATTTTATGACCAGTAAAAAAAACAACAGCAAATAAAAAAAAATCAAGCAAACAACTTTTATACTCCCTCTCACGCATTGAAATTTTCTCGCGCCAATTGTGCTGGCCAATAAAAACAATAAAAACACGAATAATACTAATAACAACAACAACAGTAATATCAAAATTCCGCAAAAAAAAACTATAACTATATTGTTTACTAAACTTCAACAGTGAATACAAAGTACAAAAAAGGAAGAAGAAAAATAAAAGACTTTAAGATTGTTGTAACAAAAAAATAAAGGAAAAAAAAAACAAGTTGACCAAAAAAATAACAGTTAAACCAAATTGAAGTCCAATTGAAAAGCCCAATTTGAAAACATTTGTGCCAGCTCCGAACACTGTGGTCACCCTGTGCTCGTTCTTCTCTTCGACTCGCTTTCGATCGAATAGGTCGGCCTAGCAGCGACAACTGTGGGTGGCTTTATGTAATTCATGCTCTCTTCGCCCGTCCAGCACAGCTCTTCACTCTGCCGCTCTCCCTCACACGCAACGGCGTATCTCATTCAGCTTAACTCAGCTCAGCGTGCGTGCGTTTGTGTGTGTGCGTGTCGTCGACGTGTACGTGTGTGTGTGTGTGCGTGAGTAAAACAACGACTGAACCAACTAGAAGAACTGTATGAAACTGTTTTCATATGACTGCGAATCAATTCAAATCAAAGCGAAAATATTGCAAAAATATTGGACTCATTACAATAAACTTCTGCTGAACGTAAAAATTGTTTAAAAGAATTAAAAAAGGAAAAACGAAATTGAAACACAGACCAAGGAATAGTACGAATCACTCTGCTCTGTGGCCCAGGGCTGTGCCCCGATTGGTGTTTCGGTGTGTTGAGAGTGATCCCTTTGTTCCCGCCGACTGACTGAACCGCATTCAAAATAACCGTAAATATTCCACCCCTCCCCCAAACCCCAACCATCCCGCTGGCGTGCGCTCTCTACGACCCCCACGATGTCTCGGCAGTCGGGTCGCACGCCACTGCCGGGGCTTGGTGGGGGCCGCATCACACACATCCTCATCCTCATCCACATCCCCACCCCTCCTCGACGTCCGCCGTGCTCCAACACCACCAGCAACAGCAACAGCAGCAGCAGCAACAGCAGCAGCAGCAACAACTGCAGCAGCAACAACAGCAGCAACAGCAACAATTGCATCAGTCCGCGCATTTGCAGCAACTGCATCACCATCCGCACCATCACCACCACCTGCCTCAGACCCAGCCACTGCATCATCATCTGCAGCATACGGTTGTCTCCTCCGCCTCGGTTGCATTGTCCACACCAACCTCTGTGCTGCAGCAGCAACAGACGACGCCTACAACACATTCCACCCCTACGCATGCTGCCATGTATGAGGATCCCCCACCTGTGCCAATCGTGCCCGTGCAGCAGCAGCAACAACAGCCGCCTCTCCAGCACCTGCCCCCGCCACAGCAGCAACAGCAACAGCAACAGCAGCAGCAACAGCAGCAGCAACAGCAGCAGCAACA